GCAGCTGCAGCTGCAGCTGCGCATCGCTGAGGAATGACTGCCTGCGCTGCAGCCTGCAGGTGACCCACTTCTCCTGCTCCGGGTCACATGGGGCCCATGCAGCAGAGACTCACACTCTGCCCGCCTCCATCCGCTCCTCGGCCGGCCAATCAGCTGCGGAGCGGGGACGAGCCCACAGTGGGAGCCTCTCATTTTCCACGGCAGTCATGTGACAGACAGAGTACAACTCCGTGGGAGCAGAGAGCGGACGGACTGCAGCGCTGCGTGGACATCTGTGGGATCCAGAGGACGAAGCGGACCCTGAGCTGGGTGACACTCTCTGGGTGAGGGAGGGGGGGCTGGGAGGGGAGGTTTCTCTGGGTGAGGGGGGGGGGGGTCTGCAGCCTGGATGAAAACATGTTTACATTGAGGTGGAGAAGGACGCGCTGCAGATTATTTCTTCATCCTGTTTAAAACAGAAAATTCAGTTTATTAAATGAACGCAATAACTAGAGTTGTTTTTTAGGTTTATTTGAGAATGAAAATATTTCCGCCTTCAAAGCAAACAGCTTTAATAATATTAGAGGCTCCTCCTGTGTGTAAACAGGCAGAGCAGGTGATCCTGGCCGCTGCAGCCCCATCCTGCAGGGTTACTGTCGGTCACTCCACGCAGGGGCCCCTGGAAAGGAAGCACGGATGGGGGGGGGCTATGTGTTCCAGGAAAACAACCTGAGCTCCACTGTAGGACATTATTAGAGGAGCCAAACTGCAGCAGAGTCAAACCAAGCCTCCTGCCTTTAAATCATCTTTTTAAAAGATTTTAATGATGACTGATCAGACCAATGATGGACAGGAACACAGCTGCAGGATCTTCATTTTAATCTTTTCATTTATTATCACCACCATTACTCAGATTATCTACTATCAGAATTTACCAAAAAAAAAATCAATACAAATCTAAATATTAAATAAAAATAAAGTCAGACTTTTGCAAACATTTAACTGAACTCGATTATTACTCAACACAGTAATACTCCTTTCCCACTGGGGGGAAAAACAGGCTGTTAGTGTCATTGGGAACAGGTCACTGAAGCGTGGTTTGATTTCCACTTTGATAGGGACACTATTGCTGCTAAGTTTCATTAATTTCATTTTACCTTTGCAACAATATGCATGCTTTTTATGCTTGATGTGAGCATCAGGGTGCATTTGGTTTAAAGAGAAAAGCAGCTTTTCTTCCTACATTTAAACTAATCTTATAAGCACTACACTCACTGGATGCTGTTTATCAATGTTTGAAGCGTCTGATTAATGTGGAATTAGGACTTTTTTACACTTTGAAAAGGTTTGCATTTAAACCTACCAGTGACTAAGACAGTAGGTAAATATGTACCAATTTAACCAAATATCGTCTAAATATGCCTGTTATATGTGAATTTATCCTGTATTTTCTTTTGAAGATATAGAATTGTGCAAAGGTAAACAGGTTAAACTCTCTTATTTTTTAAATGCTCTCTCTGTATCATGAAACAACGCAAACTAACACATTCAAGGGACGGCAAATGCATTTATTGTATTTACATTTAGTGGCATCATCTACAAAAAAAACAACACTAAGAATGAGACTAGATTTATTCCAATATAAAATCACTTTTAACAATTATTGAAAAATATATGTATAACTCCATTTTGTCTGTAATGTAATAATATTCTAAATAAACAGCCGGATTCAAGCATTTTTACTAAACACTAATGTTTGTAATAATTAACTTATGGACTGTGTGGAAATCTATGTAAAATAAAATCAATTTAAATAGTTATCCTCTGTTTGTTATTGGCTTTATCCTATTTTTAAAAGTAGAAAAAGTCAAAGAAATAGCAACATTATGTGGAACCGTAATTATGCTTTCTAGACAAAAAATAGCAGATGTTTAGGCGCCATCTGGTGTTTTTATACTCTATAAAAGAAATAACACCTGCTATATATAGCTGAACTGCCTGATAGGGTCGTCATAACATGAAAACATTAATTGCTATTAATTATTGTTAAAAGGGAAAGAAGCTAAGAATCAGCAATCAGCATCTTTCGTCTGTTTTAGTGTAGATGGAATAAAGTTTTTTTTATCAGGAATAGTTTCCTAACCTCATATTATTTGAACTTAACTAGCATGAATAAAATTCTTATTTCGTGCTCCAAGCACACATACACGCATACGGACTAGAAAACAGCCAATCAGGAAGAGAGAAGGCGGGACTTGAGGCAGAACAACCAATGAGAGTGGAGTTAAACAGCACAGTTACTGATTTAAGGGACAGGACTCAGATGGCGTGACTACCCGGGTCAAATGACTCGGACAGCGACCCGCGTTAAAATCGCTTCGGCTCCATGCTGTGGGAACACCAGAGCCGTGTAGACCCGCTGTTTTACGTGATACCACTGAACGCAGCGTAGGGACGTCAACACACCACGGCAGTCGCTTCTGATCTAAGAAGCTGAAACAACTCTGCTTACATCCGATAAACATGGAGCAGCTCTGGTGATTCAGACAGATAATAGAGAGAAACAATAAAACACACTGACTATGCCCTGGATTCCTTACATGTTGATCTCCATTGTTTACTTCCCTCATTTCTGCCGCAGTGGTGACATCATCAGCGCTAACCCAGTGTGATGATGTCACCAAACAAGCAGCTGGCACTGAGGGGTCAGACCAGCTTTTATTGCCAGTGGGAAGGGAACCAGATGCCGCTTTGTTAGCGGCCATGTTTGAAAAACAACCTGCTATTTTCAGTGGGAAGGCTTTACTTTGAGCCACCAAAAGGAACATAAACCTTCCAGCTTTATTCCCCTGAAAGCATCCATCAACGCTCCGCCAGGGTTTGGGACTCTGCTAACCCATAAGTCCCTCCATCACCTTTATACTGCAGGGACTCTACAGTGAACTCAGTTAACTGACCGTTCACTGCTTTTCACTTCCTGTTGGTTGCGTGACTCCGCCTCCCCGGCACCATCTTTGTTGCCGCGGTCACCATAACGGTGCATGGTGTAATGTTGGGATGTTTTTGCTATGAATGAATCCAAAAAGCAATGAATCCGTTTTTGAGTCGTTTTTAATTTTTATTAGATTTAAAGAACAAATCTAATCTTTGACAATATCTGCGAACTAGAGCTAAACCATTTTGCCAAAAATTTAAACTGCGATTTTTTTTTAAATTAAAATTGCGATTTCATTTCGATTTTCCTTAGCACTAACTCTACACTTGAAGATGTTTTAGTTAGGGTTTTTGAAAGCTTCCTTGCCCGGACTCCATTTTTACAGGACTTTACTGTAACCTTTGTATGAAAAAACTGCTTGCATGCATTGATCTGCTGCTAGCTGCTACTCTCTCTACCTTTCTGTGTGGAGACAAACTCCGCCTTTCAGTGTTAAACGCCACATAAAGGGCTGGAGGGAGAAATTCTTACTCCTGTTAAATATAGAAGGATTAAGAATCAGAGCTCTGCCATTTGGAAATTGCATTTAGTTAAATTGTGATTATATTGCAAATGCAATTAATGAATTGCCCGCCTTAGTGCAAACCACAGAAAAATGGTGTCAGCTGTGCATCCTCCCCA